TTTCTAATGGTGAAAACCGCACTTCTCTATCTTACTTCTATCAAAAGTTATTCAAAAAATACTCACTCATATTCTTTTGGAAAGAGTATTAATACAACCAGCACATAACCAGCCGAAATGAGTTTTATAGATAATTTAATATTATTATATTAGCCGAAGTACGATTAAATAGCATAGAAAGATAGAGCTTTTTTTCTCTATCAGACTATATAGAAAGAAAGTTACTTAAAGCTTATCATAAGGTATTAAGGTATCACTCTACGAACTTTTGGTATGCCCTAAGTATATATAAGAACACAGCAACATAATCCTTTCCATAATTTAGGAGCTTTAAAGAAAACTGAGTATAATATCCTTTTAATCAATTTTCATTATAGTCGTTAAAGAAATGCAAATCTTTAAGAGTAGATAGAAGTATACAAATTCAATGCATGTATACTACGCAAAACTCGGAAAGAACAGCTCCAACCAAAGTCATACCAAACAGTTTTTCCTTAGAGCTTACTCCCTCATAGAACCTTTTCAAATTGGGGACACATCAGTCCCAGTCGCGGCTGGAGGACAGAGTACCAGGTCCGATTGGAGTATCTCAGTCCGACTGGGCTGGTGCATACCTGTTTCTGATATCCAAAATTATAAAGAAATGATAAAAAAATTGAGAGATTAAAATGAATCTATCACTGATAACGCTTATCTTACTAGATCCCTCGAGCTTCGAGTCATTTTAGAATCAACCCAAATTCTAACCCAAATCGTAAATATAAAATTCAAATCGAAATCTCAAATACAAAATACAAGCCCAAATCTTAGAAACCAAATCCAAACTATTTCATATCAGTTTCGAAGGCTTCGAATTCTTTGCACTTCTATGGTACTTTATCTTAGACAATCTCATCGGATTTGAGTAACTTAAGACCAAATCCAAACCCAAATCCAAATCCAAGTCTAGATCAAACCCAAATCTCTGTATACCTAAACCCAACGCCTTGGATTTGTTGCATTCCTAACGAAGCGATAATAATCAAACTTATTCAGCATCACGATGATATTTGGTGCGCTATGTATTTCTAAATAGATCACGACTCATGAAAACTTAAAACACATTGTCAGCAGAGGTCAGGTGAAAAAAAAGCTCACAAAAGCGTGATCTTTTATTTCAATCTGTTCATGATGAATTTATATTTTTCTTCGCTTGTCTAAATGGAAAATGTTATTTCAAATATGTTCGGCAACTCTCCTTTGACTCATCAAAAAACAAAAAGTTACTATGCATGTGATTTGTCGAAAATATAATACAATGCACAATATGTGAATGCGATTATTAATAAGTAGAAAAGCAATGTGCTAGAGAAATCGAATAGGTAGTTACGCTTCAATCGTTCCGATTCGGTAAAAACAACTTATTTTTTTTGTTTACCAAGTACTTCAAAAGTACAGCTACTTTTTCGTCGTATTACTGTTAAGTTTGTTTTTCACTTTTAACAATATTAAACACTAATACATAATAGTCTAGATTTAATCTTTATCACTTTTTAATCATATAATCTTGTACAACTTAGTACTTTTACACAATATGCAAGGTCCTTATTCGCATGCACATTGTATCGCATACGAAATTCACTGCGTGGGTGCGGATGATGCATATTCTGTAAAAGTACACGCAACTTTTGTCACTTATTTATTCAGACAAGCAAAACGAAGAACTTTAATGATTTTAAGAAAATTTAAGCGTCAAATACATCAATTATACATTCTACATTTAAACTAATCTCAATAAACGAATTCATCTAAACGCATTAGATTGCTTTAAGAAAAACGAGAAAATAACGAACGATTATTGAACATAATAATACTCGTTTAGTATAATACATGTAAAAGTATGTTTTCTTGGCTGATCTTTCCACGTTAACACGCGTTTTACCCATTAAACGCGTTAAATAAATCGTCAAAACGGCGTTGTAATGATAACCAAGCGTTAAAATGCCGTTTTAACGAAATTTTAACACATTTTTTTTAAGAGTCTTGTCTGACTAAGTAGTGCACTACTTTTGTTTTTATGAAGCATCATTAAAAGATAATAAATATTCTTATTAAGATGTGGACAATATCAACAACTACGACAATCTTTTTATTAGCTCTGGGTATGTGTTTGTTGTCTATGGCATAATCGTTGGTCACATTTAATCAAACTATCTTCTTTCATATTATAGTCTGTGTCATGAATGCTGAAAAGTCAATTAACTGGACAGGATATCAATGGTTCGTGTATAATGGTCAAAAAGCTCCACCCGGTAATCATTAACTTAATCAATTTAAGATAAAAACATTCTTTTTTGTTTTTTTTGTATCAAAGGTCCAAACAACTGGTCCTCGAATAATGTATGGGTCGATCAAAATAACAGCCTTCACTTGAAACTTAGTTATTCACCTACAACAGGTGGATGGACATGTGCTGAATTATACACCAAAAAAAAATTTAGTTTCGGCACTTTTCGATGGTTTGTAGAAGGAGCAATTGATAAATTTGATCCAAATGTAGTATTGGGTCTGTTTACTTATGGAGGTGTTGATTATATAAATGAAATTGATATTGAAGTA